AGAACAGGAAACACTGACCTATCCCTTGGCTGAGGAAGCCCAGGACAGAACTCCTGACCCTTCTTATTTGGTGGTAGATCATAGTGTGAACCAGGACCCTGAAAAATGGAGATGTATCTGGGCAAACAGAGAAAAGGTTTTCCAATGAAAGAGAATTACTGAAAAAATAGAAAAAAAAAATGTTGAATCAACTTTTAGCTAGTATATTCTTATATTAAAGAAGCAGTTCCCATAATTAAAAGCTTGGCTAGCTATGAAGAGATAAAGTTGTTTTTTTTTTTAACAATGAAGATATTTTTATTATATGAACAATAAGTATTGTTACCTACAGGCAGAATGCTGTACAGTAGATCCTAGAACTTATCCATCTTGTGTGACTGACACTTTACAGTCATTGAACAGCAACTCCTTAACAATTTTCTAAGAGCTTAGATCTCGTGTTAAATATTCTTACCACCATAAAAGAGCCCATGTGATTGATAGCAGAGGATTAAATAGTAGAATCAAATAGAATGTTTAGAGAAAATAAATAACAATCTAGAATTGTAAATTGAGAACACTATCTGTAACGTTAAAGTATTTAAAGATTTAAGAAAAAATAAATATTATACAAAATTATTTGTGATTCCTTAATCAAGTTATTCTTTTTCATATGAATTTATTTACCTGACCGCATCAGGTCTTAGCTATGGCATGTGGGATCCTCCCCGCGGCATGAGGGTTCTTCGTTGCGCGCATGGCTTCTCTCTAGTGTGGTGCATGGTCCACAGCACACACGCTCAGTAGTGGCCATGCGGGGCTTAGTTACCCCATGGCATGTGGGATCTTGGTTCCCTGGCCAGGCCTAGAACCCTTATACTCTGCATTGGAAGGTGGATTCTTAACCACTGGACTACCAGGAAAGTCCCTAATCAAGTTATTCCTTATCAAAGCAAAGCAAAGTTACTAATGTTTAAAGTAGATTACCGTTTCTCCTCTCACTTCTGGTGCTGCTGTGTGCTCATTGGGTTTGGACCCCGTACCTCTTTTGTGAAGAGGAAGCTGAGGAGACTCCAGTCCTCAACATGGTAGATGAAAGGCCCGAGGAAGATGTCAAGACTGAGAACCTCAATCATATTAATTTGAAGGTGGTGGAGCAGGATGGTCCTGTGGTGCGGTTTAAGATTCAGAGGCATACACTGAAGGAGAGTTACAGGGCTCAAAACAGCCTGGAGTTAAAACTCCCCTCCGGGTCCTCTCCACCATGCTATGCAAAACAAAGAACTCTCTCTCATGAAGAAAAAGTGGACCTTAAGGTGGATTAAGCCCAGCTCCCAGCCAGTCCCAGCCTCTGGCCGATCTCCAGAATTCCTTGCCCCAGCCGTTTAAGAGATAACTAATCAGAACAACCTTGGAGAAGAACGGCCCCCTTAAGACAGTAGATTTCCACATATATGCCAATATATACTCACTCTTTTCTTGGGTTAGTGCAGCAGCTCACTAATCTGACTGCTGCCCCTTCTCCTTTCATTAAAGGTTATCTGTTCCTGTAAAGTGCCGGTCTCATTCTTTTCCTGAACTTCAGTTAGTTCAGTTCAGTTCAGTCGCTCAGTCGTGTCAGACTCTTTGCGACCCCATGAATCGCAGCATGCCAGGCCTCCCTGTCCATCACCAACTCCTGGAGTTTACTCAAACTCATGCCCATCAAGTCAGTGATGCCATCCAGCCATCTCATCCTCTGTCGTCCCCTTCTCCTCCGGCCCCCAGTCCCTCCCAGCATCAGGGTCTTTTCCAGTGAGTCAACTCTTCGCATGAGGTGGCGAAAGTATTGGAGTTTCAGCTTCAGCATCAGTCCTTCCAATGAACACTCAGGACTGATCTCCTTTAGGATGAACTGGTTGGATCTCCTTGCAGTCCAAGGGACTCTCAACAGTCTTCTCCAATACCACAGTTCAAAAGCATCAATTTTTCGGCGCTCAGCTCACTTATCCTTCTCTAACTCCCTTACCCTACCTACACCACGTAGTAAACTAATAAAAGCCTATTGTGAATGACAAGATTTATCAATGGGGCAAATCAGATTCCAATTTGATGGGTAACTAATTAATGAAACAGACACACCTGCACAGTTGGAGATGGAAGATGAAGATACAATTGACATATTCTAGCAGCAAGAAGGAAGTGTCTACTAAAAAGGGGACCTGCTACTTTACTACAGAATTCTGTTCCTACAGACCAAAAGACATTGTCCATTAAAAAACCACAGTTTTGTTCCATCACATCCTGACCACTGCAGTATAGTTTCTGTATTCTTTTGTTTCCCTCGTACCCATTCCTTTATTGTACTTGAAGTAACTGGTGTATGTGCACAAGCATATTGCATTTTTTTAAACTAAATGGCCAATGATATGTTTTGTTCAACATCAAATGGATATGGGATAGGGAAAAGTACTGATTCTGTGAAAATACCCCCTTTTCTCCGTTAGTGGCATGCTCATCAGCTCTTATCTTTGTACTCCAGTAAGTTATTTTGCTCTCACTGTTTAACAAAAAAAAGAACAACATAAAAAATTCTTGCATACCTTGTTTGATTGGAGGATTTTAATGTTTTTTGTTTATCACTGTAAAACCAAAAACAATTTTATAACTTTTTGTACGTAACTGTTACAGGTAGAGCAATCTGTCTTTAAGTAGGGATAAATTACTCTAAAAGAAATGAATCCTGAATAATTTTCCCTATGAGTCAAGCATCCTGTTGTTTAAATATACTTGTTTAAAATGGAAAAAAAAAATAAAAGTAGATTCCTATTCATTCTTAACATGCATTTCTAATCACAAAGAAAATTAATTGATAACAATTTGGATCAGTGCTTATACGCTGGGAGATTTAAGTTATTACAAATATTCTATTATTTAATTACTACAATAGGCCTATAAGCTAAGTCTTAGTACTTTTATTTCTTAGGAAAAAACTGAATCAGTTTAATTTTAATAAGGGCTAGTAAGTATGATAATAAAATTTTATGTTATTTCAAAGCCCAAGCTCTTAATTGTCCACAGTGGTTCCCCACTAAAGCCTGTGACCTATAAGAGCAGCCTACCTGTTGTTTTAGCCATTACCATGACTGGCCCTTGCTTCATTAATGTCTCTCCCTCCTACCCCACATCTTAAGGAAGCTGGCTTCTACCTTTTCTTGGAGAGTATTCTACTGAAAGAGCACCTGTGCTAGAGAAACATTGTCCTAGGCCTAATCATCCTGTCTTCTGCACTGTTAGACAAGAAATGTTGGATGTACCTCATAAGTTTATGTATTCCTTTAATGATCTGATAGGAATTTGTTCTTTATATGATATTTTTGAAGATTTACTGGGATAAAGATACTTTATGTACATATGTATATTTATACACATAATTCTATGTATGTGTACATGCATGCATGTGCGTATGAGTATGTATATATATACCATTCCCAGATTATATGCTTTGTCATTTCACTGGGACAAGCTACTACCCTTCTATAATTTGATGTATACTCTGTATAGTAGTCTGCTCTAATTTATAACATATACTTCTCCAAGAAAAGATTTCTCCTTCACTATCCTAGGTCAATTTCTCATCATGAATTTGAAACTAGTTACAAAGAAAAAGAACAGAAAAGAAAAGTACATGGTATGGCACATACTGTAGAGAGTGTGTGTGTGTGTGTGTGTGTGTGTGTGTGTCCTCAGTCCTGTCTGGCTCTTTTTGACCCGTGTGTGTGTCTGTGTGTCTGTGTGTCTGTGTGTCCTCAGCCCTGTCTGGCTCTTTTTGACCCCATGGACTGTAGCCCACCATGCTCCTCTGTCCATGTAAATTTTTAAGCAAGAATACTGGATTGAGTTGCCATTTCCTCCTCCAGGGGATCTTCCTAACCCAGGAATCGAACCAGCATTCCATCTTTAGGTCGATCAAAAGGGTGGATTCTTTACCACTGTGCCAACTGGGAAGCCCTATACTGTGTTTTACCATAAGAGAAAGACCTGAAAATAGAAAGGCTATCCTTAATAAGAACAGCTGTCCCTAGACATGGCTTCCTCTGCTAGATAGGTTTCATTCAGAAACTCATACTTTTTTTACTTTTCTGACCCATTTCCAGTAAAGGGTCTTAAAAATGGTCCCATATAGAACAGCCTCAGTATAAAAATGTTTTGTAAAACAAGATGGGAACTGGAGTGGTCTTGCCTGCCAAGTCTAGAAACTTGAAAAATGAGACTGGATAGGTCCATTATTGTTCATCTGAAAGGCACAAATATGTACACAGGACATTGACACAGCTTATACTTTTCAGTAATCATAGAGCAAATCTTTATTAAATTATGCAGGACACTTAAATAGTTGTTTTACACTGACATTTAGTTTTACACAATGATCTTAAAAGTTAAGGCACAGTTTTAAACCCTAGTTTGTATTTAAGGAAAAAGAAGCTTGGAATTTTTTCATCATTACACACCTTGTAAAAGTCAAGACAGGATTAGAACTCCAACACTCTGAACATAAAATTGTTATTCTGTATACAGATATTGTTGTGTTTTCCTTTCCATGACCCTTTGATAAACTGAGTGTGTCCTGGGCAACAGACATTCACTCAAATAGTTGATGGTAGTGGGTGGGGAGTGATTGTAGATTGTCCTGGATATCATAGATGGTGGCAGACAGGCTTTGCCATGTTTCTTTATGTTGGTGATCAAAAAAGAAATATATGGAGGATTATGAGGGCAAAGATGTTATACCATTATTGTTTTGTCTTTAGAAGGGATTAGAGGTCTCTCTTTGAGAATACAAAAGAGAGTTGATGGGTAAATAAGCATGTCTGCTAACTCAAAGCAGATTCATTCTGCATCCCAAAGATGAGCACAAGTTCTAAAGTAGAGATGGGAGACTGGAAGGAAGAGATGGTGTGAATGGCGCAGATGGGCTCAGGTATAGAAGATGAAATCCAAGGCAAGGGTCACTATCAGAAGTGGGAAAGGGAACAGAAGTTTCAGGAACTTGGAGGGCACAGTGTCATGGGAGCCGGACAGTCCCAAGGATTGAAATATGGATAGGCATTCCAAGAAAAGTTGCATTTAGAGAACTTATAGATGAGTGACCCATGGTTTGTGACATTGAAAAATGAGACAGTGCCTGCTTCATAGTCTAGAAAAACACCAACATGACGGGGAGGAACAGTCATGGAAAGAGTCAAGACTCTTGAGTCAGGATGAGCAGTGGAAGAGTCCTCAAAGGCTTCATACCTAAATTTGTCCTTTAACCCTATAACCCAGTAGCCAAGTTGAGGTCTGTATATGGAGTAAGCATTTTCATAATTCGTGCTTCCCTGAACAGCAAACTTTATATTACAGGAATGTATTCTACAGTATACCCCTAGGATCCAGGCAGTCTTCTTGGATACATCTATTTCCCAGTAGTGTTTCCCTGATGAGAAATATTGGGAGCCCAAGACACCATAATTATAATTCTTAAAAGGCCATATTGGCACAGATAGTACTTGTCTCTGATCTTCTGAAAGGACAAGATTCAAATTTAGGTTGAGGGGATTCAATGTGATGTCCACTGCAGAGGAAAAAAAAAATCAAAACATGCAATAAATATAGGGTAAGCTTATCCAGTGACATTGTGAAGAGGGAACTTGGGAATTGACTATGAAGAACTTGTGTTAATGGACTGGGGAAAGGGGTTCAAACATTAGAGTGACATATTATATGTATGTATCAGGAAGTGAACACGTGGGGCTATGACCAAATCTAATCGAAACTGCAAACTTCTGAAATGGGGTCAGAACACAGTAATTTGAAGACCCAATAAATCTTCTTACCCCAGTGGCACTGGACGCGTGTTAGCTCTGAAACGACAAAAGATTTAATGATGTTGATTGATGCAAGTGGCTAAGCACTGACACCAGTTCTTTTCTAGGGTGAGGGCAGGGGGTAGGACCACTGTGAAACTATAAAGTGGTGAATGAGAGGATGAACCAGAAACCTAGCCATTCTCCCCTTTATATGACCACGTCCTCTTCAGCAATACCCCTTCTCTGAACACCTTCCTTCTTTCTACCCCGACTTGTGCCCAAATTTAGTCCCTGGCACCACAAGAATCCCATATCCACACTCCTGCCCTGGCTTCCACACCTTTAAACATGTGCAGCATTCCACGCAGATCTGGAACCCGGAATACATTCTTCAGTTTCTTGGAAACCATTTTTGGCTTCTTCAGTGTCCAGATCTTACTCCTAGAGATGACAAAAATGTTGACCCTACATCTCTTACATTCCATCCTTTTAATACCACTGCCTTCCTCTCCTTCCATGCACTGATGCACTTAAACCTTCCTCCCTGAAAAACCCGAGGAGGGGAGATGTGATGGCTCTGACACTGCAGACAAAAGAAATGTGCTCATGTCTACCTGCCCACTTAGGAAGAAGACCTTCACTTAAAAAAACAAAATAAAAACCTGTCTCCTTCTAGAAATGGAATATATTAACCCTTCTTTTGATACTTCATGGAATGAATATGAAACTAGGTGAAATACTGTATAGGAAAGGCTTTTGCTACCTCTGTGTTGTGCTGTGTTCTGCTTAGTTGCTCAGTCATGTCCAAATCTTTGCGACCCCGTGGACTGTAGCCCATCAGGCTCTTCTGTCCATGGGGATTCTCCAAGCAAGAATACTGGAGTGAGTATTCCTCCATGCTTTCCTCCAGAGTCTTCCCAACCCAGGTCTCCTCATTGCAGGTGGATTCTTCTACTGTCTGAATCACCAGGGAAACCCTTTGCTACCTCTAAAATGGTACTAATATGGGAAAGTCATCATACACAATGGTCTCCCAGATGGACGTTCCCAGGCAGATCAGTAGGGAGGCTACAGATCCTGACTGTGTTTTTATGGGTCTATTTTTGGAGAGCCTATAAGCCTGTGCCCTGGTTCAAAGCTTTACTTCCAGGGGTGTGGTCCACAAACAACATTGGAGATTTATAGGAGTTCTGGGAAAAAGTTAAAAGCTTCTGGCAAAGGAGAAGTTACTACTACTGAACTGAAAGTGGTTAGAACTTCATGTGTTTGTAAAAATTTGGTGCTACTAGATGGATCAGCAAACTTTAGACACAAAGACTACACTTTCCTATGTAAGTTTCTAAAATATGTGACTAGGAAAAGATTAATTATTGCCACCAGGGTCAAAACCAATAACCTCAAGGCTCAGGTCTGCTTTTAGAAATCTAAAGAGAACCTTGTGGAATGACCTAGTCCCACTCTACTTCTATGTAGGCAAAATTTAAAACAAAACTTTTTTTTTTTTTCCTCTTTAAAGCTGACCTGCATAACTATTTTAGGGCTTGACAAGGCCCATGTGCTAACACAAGCACCAGTGAAATAAAGAAACCAAAGAAGGACAGAGGGTGAATTAAATGAGTGAAGTCACAAGAATCTAATAGTAAAATCCTTTATCCTCTTTACCCCTACAGGCCCTAACTCTGTGAATTCCAACTACCAAATTCATTAACATAGAATCCAGCTCATTCTCAAAAGACATAGAACACTAAAATCCTCATCTATGACCACAATTTAAAATAATACTACATCAAAATTTCATTGGTTGGGGAGATTTTTCATTCTGATTGACCAGATAACTCTCATGACTACAAATCTTTCTTTATACCACATGAGCATGACTCCTGATTACCCATACGCACCATTTCATGACTCCACTCATGTCCTAGGAGGAAGAGAGAAAACACAAGTCAAGGAGAATAAATAAAACAGTAGGATTAAGGAAACAAAGAATAGGAAAACTACAGAGAAAAACAGAGCAGTCAAAATTATTTAAAATTATTTGAAAAAATCAATAAAATAGATAAGCCTTTAACTAGATATCTCAAGAAAAAAATACATAGGAGGCAAATTACTAAAACAAGAACTAAAGAAGAGACAGTACTACTGAATTAACAGAAATTAAAAGATTATAAAGGCTATGAAAAATTGTATACCAACAAATTAGATAATGTAAATTAAATGGACAAATTCCTTCAAACACAGAAACTATCCACACTGATTCACAGAGAAATAAAAAAACTGAATAGACCTAAAACATGAAGAGATTGGACTGAAAATCAAAAAACTCCCTCCAAAGGAAAGTCCAGTTCTAGATGGCTTCACAGGTGAATTCTGATAGTTTTAAAGACAAAATAATGCAAATACTTCACAAATTCTTCCAAAAAACAGAAGAGGGGGAAACACTTCCCAACTCATTCCATGAGGCCATGAGTCTAATACCAAAATGAGACAAAGATATTACAAGAAAAGTAAACTACAGGCTAATATCCCTTATGAATATAGACATGAAATTTTTCAATGAAACACTAGAAAATTTAAGCCAGCAAAATATAAAAGATTATACATCATGCATCCATGCATGCTAAGTCAATTCAGTCATGTCTGACTCTTTCCGACTCTACGGACTGTAGCCTCCCAGGCTCCTCTGTCCATGGGATTCTCCAGAAGAGAAAAGTGCAGTAGGTTGCCATTCCCAAGATCAAACCCAGATCTATTATGTCTCCTGCATTGGCAGGCAGGTTCTTTACCACTAGTGCCATCTGGGAAGCCCCATTATACATCATAGTCAACTTGAATTTATCCCAGAAATGCCAAGTTGCTTCAACATTAGAAAAGCCATCAATATGAGTGAAAATAAGCTTGATAAATATTTCAAAGGAGCTTCTTAGTGACAGCAACAGGATTAGAACCCAAGGACACAGATGAGAAGGTAACTGACATGGGTTCAGAACCACAGGTTGGATGGCCCTCCTCACCTGCAGCAGCTCCACAGTTGACCATTCACTGCGGCGCTCCAGATCTGAGATGAGCTCCTTCAGCACCTGGCCCTGCTGAACCAGCTCAGCCTCAGCCATAGCCAAGCTATCCAGGGTCTTCTTCTCCTCTTCCTCCAATTTCTGCAGTTCTCTTTGCTCCTCACTGTCCAGGATGCTTCTAAGCTGATTAAACTCTGTTTGTATCCTTTGTCTCTCAGTCTGAGTCTGATACTGTAAGGTTGGACAAGGGGAAGAGGGAATGAATCTGTCAGCTGGATAAGAGATTAAGAGCCAGAAAAATATTTTTCAGGGGCTTCTTACCAGGAGGGGAGTTAAAGTAGGCAAGCAATTTTGGGGAAAGCTCAGCTTTTTAAATTTTTGCCTATTATCTTCCCTTCAGTACAAATCAAAAAGGTCTCAGACAATCTTATCTGCCAACCCTGGGCCAAAACGTAAAACCCTAGTGAGGTTTGAGTTGTGGATAGCTGTCCTAGACACTCATGCCTCCCTGCATTACTGCAGTCCCTTAGTTTGAATCTTGAGAAAAAGCTCAGTCTTTTGCCATTGTCTTCCATTGAGGGTGTCTTGCAGGAGGAATGAAGGACAGAAGTCTCCAGACTTCTTCACCATAGAGGGCTTCCCTGGTGGCTCAGTGACAAAGAACATGTGTGCAATGCAGGAGACTCAGGAGACTTGGCTTCAGTCCCTGGGACAGGAAAATCCCCTGTGAAGGGAATGGCAACCCATTCCAGTATTCTTGTCTGGAGAATCTCATGGAAAGAGGAAACTGGCAGGCTACAGTCCAGAGGGCTGCAAAGAGTTGGACACGACTGAAGCAACTGAGCACAACAACACAGACTCACCATAAGTCAGTCTTCACGCTGAATTCGAAAGCTCTGTGTATGTTTGAAACATATCCACTCTCTAGCCCCTACTTCCACAGGGAAAGGACAAAGGAGAGAACAAATAAAATGGCACCTGGACTCATTCAATGCCAGGCAACAAGAGGAAGGGGCTTCCTCATGATTAGGACAGGAGGACAGATGGTTGTGCCAACTCCTAACTCAGAAATCCATTAGGAAGAGTCTCCTCCCACCTTCCAGGAAGTTCTCTCTTCTCTGATGTCAGCTTCCAACTTCTCAGCCTTCTGCTGCTCCTTCCGCAGCCTCGTCAGAGCTGCCTGGAGCATCTCCTATAAGGGAGGAACCACATCAGCATCAAACTTTGGGCTTTTTCAGCACCTGGACAGAGAATAAACAGGGAAGAAATCATGCTGATCTCAGAAGAGACCAGTTTATGGAAACCAGTTTGAATCTGATCATTAAAATTGATGGCATGGGATGGAAGAATATCTGAGAAGGTAAATGCATTGCTTATTCCTAAGTGGTGAAAGTCACTATCCTTGCCAATTCTCTCTCTTTTTTTTTAGCATAATTATTGATTCTGCTCTGGCAAGGAATGTCCTTTTTTCTCATTGACACTCTTTCTATGTCCAATCCACAATCTTCAACAGCACCCATTCTGCTGAGAGGTAATATCAGCAACTAGAGCTAATCTGGTGAAAGAATTGCCAATCAATAAAACAAAAGAGACAAAAGAAGAAATCCTCTCACTTTCAGCCAAGAGTCTATACTTTTGGCTCCTCCTTTATGTAACCAAAGAAAAACACAGAAATGTCCTTGAGACGTTGGAAGTTGAACATACAGTAAGAGACATACATCGGAGATTACAGAGCTCACTACTATGGTGCCAAACAGAGTAAATGAAAAGGTGAGGTTTTCCACCAAGTACTAATTTCCATCCTGGGCCCTACCTGACTTTCCTTGACTGCCTCTTCCATGAGGAATGTGTGGTGACCGTGGTGCTCCTGAGATCGTACACAAAGTCGACAAATGACTTTTCTATCTTCCTTACAGAAGAGTAGGAGTTTCTCTTTATGGTGCACACAGAGACGTATCTTCTGCCCCTCCTCTGGGCTCAACTTGACCGTTCTGAGTCTCTTCACTATGTTGGCCAGATGCTGATTAGGCCATAGGTTTCCAAGTGAGTACTGGGTACCACACACAGGACAGCTGCTGTCCCCTCCTAGGCTGGTATCTGTCTCCTTGTTGTCAGCGATGCAAGTCTGGCAGAAGCTGTGACCACAGCCTAGACTTAGGGGTTCTGTTAAAAGCTCCCGGCAGATGGGACAGGATAAGTCTTCCTGTAGGTTCACCACAGTATTTAAAGCCATAGCAGCTGCTCCCTGGCTTCCTCCTGTCCAAACTTCTGGAGCTCTTCTTGCTTAAGGATTCTGGGATGGTTAGGCAGATTGAAGAGAGATATGTAAGACTGGCAGAGATAAAAAAGATTTCAATCAGGCAGACATTAAAGACTGATTAAGACTGAAATACTGAAGAACAAGAAAGAACAAATGGAATTTAATGGCCTGGGAAAGCCACTAAGGCCTCAGGGCTTTTGCAGTTTGCTTTTCTTTTACCCTACAATGATCTTTCCCTTGATATTTGCATGACTTCCTGTTATGCTTCATCTGACTCCCTCCTTACATGGCCTCTCCTTTGAAGAGCCTTCTGTGATTAACTCATCTACAGCACAAGCATCAGTACATCACTTTTTGTGCACTTACCATCTTTTTCTTATTATCACTGCATAATATACGATACCTTTCTTGAAGTATCCTACTCCGAAAATGTAGATTAGGCACTTGTTGTTATTCACTGCTGCATCCCTAATGCCTAGCACAGGGAACATAACATTTGATGAATACATAAAGGATCTTCTCACTTCTCCAGAGGAAATTAGACCTTTAAAAAAAAAAATCAGCATTTCCTCTTTTCTTTCCATTAATTAGCTGTTCTCCTACAGGTGAGCTTTAGGACCACAGATAGGTTTCCAGTGAAGATTTATCTATGGATCAATCAATTGATTTTTCCATCTGTCTCTCCCAATATACCTTTCCATAAGGAGTCCTTCCACATACTTATACTCACTCCCCAGAGACACCAACAGACAGAGTAAACATTATAAGAGGAAAGCAATTTTATGACTAACAATTGCCTCAGTTCAGTTCAGTCGCTCAGTTGGATCTGACTGTTTGTAACCCCAGGGACTGCAGCACACCAGGCCTCCCTGTCCATTACCAACTGCCGAAGTCTACTCAAACTCATGTCCATTGAGTCGATGATGCCATCCAACCATCTAATCCTCTGTCATCCCCTTCTCCTTCCACCTTCAATCTTTCCCAGCATCAGGGTCTTTTCCAAGGAGTGAGTTCTTTGCAACAGGTGGCCAAAGTATTGGAGTTTCAGCTTCAGCATCAGTCCTTCCAATGAATGTTCAGGACTGATTTCCTTTAGGATGGACAGGTTGGATCTCCTTGCAGTCCAAGGGACTCTCAAGAGTCTTCTCTAATACCACAGTTCAAAAGCATCAATTCTTTGGCACTCACCTTTCTTTGTAGCCCAACTCTCACATCCATACATGACTACCGGAAAAACCATAGCTTTAACTAGATGGACCTTTGTTGACAAAGTAATGTCTCTGCTTTTTAATATGCTATCTAGGTTGGTCATAACTTATCTTCCAAGGAGTAAGTGTCTTTTAATTTCATGGCTGCAGTCACCATCTGCAGAGATTTTGGAGCCCAAGAAAATGAAGCCTCTCACCGTTTCCACTGTTTTCCCATCTATTTGCCATGAAGTGATGGGACCGGATGCCATGATCTTAATTCAGTTTTCTGAATGTTGAGCTTTAAGCCAACTTTTTCACTCTCCTCTCTCACTTTCATCAAGAGGCTCTTTAGTTCTTCTTCACTTTCTGCCATAAGGGTTGTGTCATCTGCATATCTGAGATTATTGATATTTCTCCCAGCAATCTTGATTCCAGCTTGTGCTTCATCCAACCCAGCATTTCTCATGATGTACTTGCATATAAGTTAAATAAACAGGGTGACAATATACAGCCTTGATTTACTCCTTTCCCTATTTGCAGCCAGTCTGTTCCATATCCAGTTTTAACTGTTGCTTCCTGACCTGCATACAGATTTCTTAAGAGGCAGGTCAGGTGGTCTTGTATGCCCATATCTTTAAGAATTTTCCACGGTTTGTTGTGATCCACACAGTCAAAGGCTTTGGCATCATCAATAAAGCAGGGGTAGATGTTCTGGAACTCTCTTGCTTTTTCGATGATCCAACGGATGTTGGCAATTTGATCTCTGGTTCCTCTGACTTTTCTAAATCCAACTTGAACATCTAGAAATTCATGGTTTACATACTGTTGAAACCTAGCTTGGAGAATTCTGAGCATTACTTTACTAGTATGTGAGATGAGTGCAATTGTGGGGTAGTTTGAGTATTCTTTGGCATTGCCTTTCTTTGGGATTGGAATGAAAATTGACCTTTTCCAGTCCTGTGGCCATTGCGGAATTTTCCAAATTTGCTGACATATTGAGTGCAGCACTTTCACAGCATCATCTTTTAGCATTTGAAATAGTGCAATTGGAATTCCATCACCTCCACTACCTTTGTTCGTAGTGATGTTTCCTAGGCCCATTTGACTTCACATACCAGGATGTCAGGCTCTAGGTGAGTGATCATACAATTGTGATTATCTGGGTCATGAAGATCTTTTTTGTATAGTTCTTCCAGGTATTCTTGCCACCTTGTCTTAATATTTTCTGCTTCTGTTAGGTCCATACCATTTCTGTCCTTTATTGAGCTCATCTTTGCATGAAGTGTTGTTCCCTTGGTATCTCTAATTTTCTTGAAGAGATTTCTAGTCTTTCCATTCTATTGTTTTCCTCTATTTCTTTGCAATGATCTCTGAGGAAGGCTTTCTTATCTCTCCTTGCTATTCTTTGGAACTCTGCATTCAAATGGGTATATCTTTCCTTTTCTCCTTCGCCTTTTGCTTCTCTTCTTTTCATAGCTGTTTGTAACAATTGTCTAGCCAGTTAGAATGTATAAGTCACTCTAACCTATTCTGCATACAAAAATCCTTGTGAAATGAGTACTCCCTTTATTCAGATGCATAAATAGAATCAAGTGACTTACAAAGATCATTCAAATCAGTAAGTTGAATTGGGGTGACTTCCCTGGTAGCTTAGATGGTAAAGCATCTGCCTACAATACGGGAGACCCAGGTGCAATCCCTGGGTCGGGAAGATCTCCTGAAGAAGGAAATGGCAACCCACTCCAGTACTGTTGCCTGGAAAATCCCATGGATGAAGAAGCCTGGTAGGCTACAGTCCATGGGGTCGCAAAGAGTCAGACATGACTGAGCGACTTCACTCACTTCACTCATAGTGTCTTCAGGGTCCTCTTTCAGAGGCCTGGTGGGTGTGATAAACACTATCACCTAGAGGTACATATTTCTGAGATATCAAATAATTTTCCAAATAGGAAAATATCAAAGATATTGCCACTGAATAAGATCTGAATGCAAAGCTGAATGATGAGAAGGGAATATGAAATGAGAGGAAAAAAATATCTTAGAGAGAGGGAGTCACATATGTCAATGTCCTTTTAGTGAAAGTCACGGCATCTTCGACCTGCTTTAAAATGTCAGCCTGACTGGTATGCAGAGAGCTGCTAGGCTTTCGGCATTGCAAGAGCCCAGAAGGGACCAGAAATTTTATACCTCCTACAGTATTCTTGCCTGGAGAATCCCACGGACAAAGGAGCCTGGTGGGCTACAGTCCATGGGGTCACAAAGAGTCAGATACGACTTAGTGACTAACACACACACACACACACACACACACACACACACACATGATGTGAAGTCTCCTTCCAAAGAGCAGAGCTTCAGTGATGGAAGTTCGTGGGACAAGTTGATGGAAACAATGGAGAGAAGCAGAAGAGAGTGAGAGATGAGACAAAATGACAGGCTTGGGAGTTAGAGACTGTGTATATGGGGATGGAGGATTATCATCAGGCTTAAGTCTTTTCTTCCTGTAAAAAGGAAGACATTGGCATTACCTTCTCCTAGTTCTGTACTTTTGTTATTTTTGGTAAACAGAAACCTCAGCTTCCTCAAAGAAGTTGTGACTCTTATAGGGTCACCTGTAGGGTCCTGGAAGCTATGCTTCTGGTTCTTACAAAGTAATCAGTCAGTTGGCACAAAACTTACTTAAACTACATTAGTTTCATACATACAGACCTGATCTTGTTCTCTTGCAAATGACCTGAAGAC